TTCTCGTGTAGGTATTGTTGGATGAAATAACCATCGTAGCCCTGAAAATTATGGGCCACCACAATACATCCTTCATGTTCTTTCGTGAACAGCCATTCGCAGAACTCGTTCCTGGTGTTATCTCCTTGAAACACCCATTCGTCACCAGCCTCGTTTTGAATTACGCACAAGTTCGGTTCGTGAGTACCATTCTCTTGGATGCACTCAAAATCGAAGAACAGTAGTTGTATCCGCTTTCGTGGACGTCCTCATCCGCTTCTTCATCACATAAACCAGTCTCACGTGCAGGTTTTTCCTTGACAGGTTGCATGTAACATTGGTGGTCCTCGATGCCCACGTATTTTTCACAGGTTGAGCAACGCTTCAGTCTGCAGTGATGCAAATCAGGCCTCAGTTGAGTCCGTTCGAAAACACGATTACAATGAGGACATTTGGCAGTAGACAAACAGATCGATTTTGCATTTCCTACTTTTTTTTTGTGCCGATCGAAACATTCTTGACTTTTAAAAATACAGTTACAATCACTACATGAAATCCACGAAACAATCGGACAATTTTGAAAATGGCACAAATTACACGTATCTCCGCATAAATGATCCCTTTGATGGTCATACCCTTTTTTACAAGTATGGCAATACTTTTTACCAGCAACAAAAGCCGGCATGCTTGTAATCACATCGAAATGATTGTCATGCAAAAACAAATAGATCCTTTTCTCTTTATCAGGTCTGGAAAAAATGACAGAATTTTGATGCTCTTTTGAAACAATGTTGATTTGATAATCGGTCAAATACGCTTGAAATTGTTTGACTTGGTCTATACCGCAAGAACCTATAGGAACACCTGCTTTTTCGTGCAAATCATGAGCTAAACATTCCTGTAACGAAGCGCGATGATTGGCTATCACCTTATGCCGACTATCGTTTTCAATTTTGGCAATCGAAACAACTAAAGCCCGAGCTAAACATAAATCATCCTTGTTCTGAATACGAACAATTGCCCTTTTATTGATCAAATGCTTTTCCAAATTTATTTCACTGTGTTTTGTTCCGGTACCGCCGTTGGGCATTTCAACATGGACCAAATTCACTTTGACACTGTCGTTTAGACAAAATTCATGGTTGGATTGAATAACACGCTCAATTTGAGCCATGAAAGGAAGAGAAATAGGTTTTTCAAGCTGAGGTGAATGCAACACAAAACGTACTTGATCATGCTCTGGAATATCTCGTGTAATGGTATTCAACATACTTTCAAATATTCCATGCAGACGGTCGTGGAACTGAGAAAGCTCCAAATGAGCAAACGTGTCCGTGAATTGTACTGTATAATCCACACCTGTCGTGCTGAATTTTTTCACTTTAACTTGTTTCATATTTGTTACGGTAAAAAAGTTATCGCTAACCTCGTCAGTTTTACTGTCATTCACTTCGTCTATGGATCTTCTCGCCACGGCCCATTTGCAACAGGGGGTCATCATTTTGCCATTCACGTATGAATCTTTCACGGTGTCCAGGTGTCCGTAAAGTCAGCCGTAAGCCCTAGCTGCTCATTTTCTACTCTCCATTCCGTTATTCGACGAAAAATTTCCAATTTCCTCTCGAAAAGAATGCGTTGTTCCATTTCATTCAATAAATATAGCCTTTCCAAAATTGATAATTCAGCTATTGTCTGACACTCGACAATTTTAACTGCCAAATCCATGTCTAAATAAAAATACTCTTGTTTATTTCCTTTCTATGACATACAACAAGTCATGAAGGAACTTAATACTTTTAACAAACTATAGAACTCTGTATAGAACCGAAACTTTTACAGTATAAAGGTATAAATCGTCCCGTATTGTTTTCAAAAAATCATCTAAAATCTAAGTTGCTATGGCAACCGCTTGCAATAACTTCATGATACATCGACTCTTTTAAAGCAAAACTTCTCGCGAAACGCTTTATTTATGAAAGCTATAAACAAAACTGTTTTGCCTAAATTCACATACCTTTTAACGTTGAAATACAAAGCCAAAGGAACACCTCGTCTGCAAAGTTCTGACCAGTTAATATCTGTGAATAACTACAAACAAAAATCGCGAAACGTCAAATATCCAGCAAAGTTCTATCGGTAAAAACTATAAAACAAAAATGCTTTGCCTAAGTTCACATACAAAAAGTTTACCTATATAATTTGTTAAACAACATACCTTTAAAAGTTGAAAGCAGCAAGTCTTTATACTAAGAAAAAACCACTCGCGAAACGTCAGTAAAGTTTTCTGTGTGAACAATATATCAAAGCAAATCTTTCAAAGTTCTCTCTGCGAAAGCTGTGTAAACACTACGTTCTTGTAAACTCGAAGACCTCAATTTATACAGTATATTAAATCCGGTTCGAACTGGTATTGTAGCGCTTACAAGGATCATATTTTTTTACAATAACGTTATGCGACAAATACTTGCTGACGTCATCTCAAAAGATCACGCGACAAACGTTACGCGACAATGTTCCAAAAATGACGTCACTCTTATCCCTAAAAAACGCTGACGTCCTATGGCGGGGAAAATGCTGACATCATATGGCGGGAAAATTTTGCCAGATGGGGGGTTTCATCTACTAATCTTAGTGTGTTTACCTTTATTATATTCTATTTCTTGTAATTAGATCTATAGATATACCATGTAATTCAGTTGTTATTGCAATTCAGTTTATTAAAACAGATTATTATTGTTAACAGATATTAAAAACTTGCTCTCTTGCTAGGCATTGGTTATGTGATATTGGTAATCAACAATCCGGACAAATTCCTTAGAATGTGGGTATCTCAAGGAGCAGGGACAGCAATATAGATTTCCCATTTCAGAAGATAACTTGCATGACCTCATTGAACATTCAAAAAATCAACATAAATATAGAAAACATCTTTCACAGTCACTCTGTCATGCAAGTACTCCTGGATGTCAATTAGATGCAAGTAACAAAACAAGTACATTTGCCAAAGTAACTTATTGCATAATGGCAGACACACATTCTACTTCTCAAATCAATTCAAGCACTCCTCCCAGTAACAAAGCATCAATGCATGAAAGTTTGGGTGTAATTTCATCACACACAGTGAAAACAGCCAAAATAGGATGCCTAAAGAAGGAATACACATGCCTTGACCTTGAAAATGAATTTGATAAGCTGAGTTTACACGTTGACAGTAAATCTGCTGCAAAGTTGTAGTGAATTCTCGGTGTCGACAACAAAGAAATTACTAGAATGAGTGAGTTGTTTTTTTAATTATTGTCGTATATAGTATCCTGAATAAAAATTGGATTTCACTCTTGTTAACGATGTTGATAATATTTTTCCTGTGTTGGTGTTGTGTACTAAGGTGAACATGCTACTTGTGATGTTACTCTGAGTGTATATCCACATCGGGTGAGCTTGTAAATGTGCCCAGCCACGGTGGGAATCGAACCTACAACCTTTGGAAAACTAGCCCAATGCTCTGCCAACTCAGCTACACGGTTAGGTCGGTTTGAGTAATATTGTCCAAGCATATACTACGTATAAGTGTTGGAACGAAAATTGAACATTTCGACAGTTGTTCGGACAGTGACAGCATTGATAAATCTTGTTAAATATGTTCACCGAGCTAGTAGCGAAAACATGGAATCTTGCGTCAAGTTGGTACATTTAAAGAATGTACAATGTCAGCTATCACAGTGCCAGAAAAGTTACAAGTTGGCAGTGAAAGCTGGTCTAGGTAAAGTGGAAACATCCTTTTTCATGTTTCATCACCTTTTAGAAACCATAAAGAGTTTGAGGCAGAAAGTCGATGAGTCATCTAGAGGTTCCCCAGATCATGTGCAAATTCTGCATGATTTTGTTATCATCTTGTTGTATGCAACATGTCTGTGGCTGTTCAAAATAGTTGCATACTCTAGAGCTGTTTCACGAATTGGAGCAAGGGAAAGAATTCCATTTTGGTGACACATGTTGTCTCTGCCTGAGTCAGAAAGACTTAAACTTCACGAACGTCTTGCAACACTAACGTGTCATTCACAGCAGGATAAAACATCACTGAGTCGCAAATCTTTTGAACAAGGGCATTGAAGAGGCCACCAACTCGAAAACCTCCTCATCCTCACATACTGTGATTCTGAAACAGCAAGATGATTCGGTTAAAGATGGTGATATGGTCACTTTAGTAGACGGTGCCACTACATGCGCTGAGAAAGCGTCAATATTTTTTGCGAGACTGGTGAGGCACTCGGCAGACGAGAGTGAGGCACTTCAAATGGAGTTTCGTACAATGCCTGACAAGGAATTACTTTACCATGCAGCAGTAGATTCAAGCTGGTGAGAATTAACAAGTTCATTAATATTTCACATTCATACTATCTACGATCATAAACGTGAAGTATATGAATTGTGTTCATCCATAGCAAAGATTTACAGTGCCATGTCTTTGCAAAAAGACTACATCACAAACATTGTCTAAAGAAGATCGAACATTAAGTCATGTGAACAGTCACATGAATAAGAACAAATATTGGTTCGTGAGATAAATATTTAAAACTATTTAAAGATATTAATGTAAACATAACAATATTAATGTTTGGGAAATTTGAATGTTTAATACAATTTTATCTTAAACTACTATGTTTCTGTGTTTGTTGTTTAAGTTTTTCAATATTTAAGTATGATTGATGGGTTTTTCTATACCGTTCCAGCAATGAAAGCTTGTCATACTTATAACTTAATCGTAACACTTGGCAATAAAAATTAGTTGAGCTCTTAAAACTATATATTAAACTCCATTACAGATTGTTTATATCTTGCTTAGTTTTCAAAATATTTGACTGAAAAAAGTGAGCTGTTCACCATCTTGGATTATTGAGGATATGCATGTTACATCAAGAGAGGGATCACTCTAAGTTTTATCTTGACAGTAAGCGATCAATATGGGTACAAAACTTCATTTCTGGTTGCTGTCTGAAATTTAGAAATGATTAAAAACATTTCAAACAATTGTGTATTGTTACTCGGTCATTTTAGAATAGTTTTAAATGGTTAACCCAACTCCTGATGTCATCAAAACCATAGTTAATGAGGTCAAGAATTAGTCCAAGATGGCAGACAGCTCATTAATTTCGGTCCAAATATCTTGAGAACTAAGCAAGATATGACAAATCGGTAATAGATTTTAACATATAATTTTAAGAGTTCTTTTGAATGAGACAAACTAATTTTTTATTGCCAATGTCCTTTAAGAAAGTGGTAGAAATGGGACTAACAAATAGGTTAAATGGTGATATTTGCAATTGAAAAGATGCGGATATTTAGGAGCTGATTACATGGTGTTGGGCTGGCCCGGTTAACCGGACTCACTCATTTGTTTAGGATCTTACTGTGTAAAATAAATTTGCGATAAATAATTGGTTTAGTATAGATACAAAATCATCCTAAACCCGATTCAGAACTCATTTTGCGGCCCAAGTAATCAGCCCCTTATACAAGTATTATGCACAACCGTACATATCATCTGATTGCATACATGCCCCCCACCACAAAGCCATATATATTACCTACATCCCCCTGAGAGCTTACCATGAAATCTCATGTGAGGTCTCTAAATTTTCCTGGCACATTGCTTAGAGAATAGAATAATTCTATGTAAAATTCCGGATCTGGGGTGTGGCAGGAATTTCTAATGGGAACAAAAGTACATGCAGCCCGACACGCCCCCCACCACACAGTTGTGAGGCCCTGTCACATAATTCATCTTTTATCTGCATTTTGTGTCATAAGATAATTAGTTAAGCCCAGTTATTTTGTGATGCATTGCTAAGACATTGTTTAAGAAAACTGACATGGATGGGTGGTTAGAATTAAATTTGTGATGGCAAGTGTAGTCCCTACAGCCATGTTTAATGGGTGGGGTTCATCATGGGCTGACTTGATTGGTCGTTCTACTTTGTTACTGAGCAAAGGAAATAGGAAGCCCAATGAAATTTCTTGTGCAATTGTCTTGATTTTATTCTAATGAAAGCGCATTAAAATGGCATACCTTTACAATACTCTTCGATTCGGTTGAATTTGATTCAGTTTTTAGAATATATGTGGAAAATTCAACCCTTTTTAAACCACATAAAGACATTTCAAAAATACACTTAAATATAAAACACTAGTTAGTAGTTTAAAAAGACCCACATGGCGCAGTGGGAAAAATGAAAGAGATTAGAGAAACCATACTACTAACCATACAGTCTCTATACTACACACACTTGAAGTTTTATGTGTCGTTTTTCATTTCAAAAAAAGGTACAAGGAAGTGACCATGGAAATTTAATTGTTTCCCCCCACAGAATTCTAATTGTCTTCCTCTTTTTGCTAGGCATTTTTGGACAAAGGCATGCAGATGGACAAGAATTTGGTGCAGAACGCTCCTAAGAAACAAGCACATGAGAAGGGATCTCCTGGGTGCGTCGAAGGGATCTCCTGGGTGCTCGAACGTCACAAGATTCACAAAGAACTTCAACACAGCCACCACATATTGCCCCTAGACTCAAAGGCCAATCAACAACAGACCCGACCACTGTTTGCAGTCCGACGACCAGTTCCAAGTTCTGAGCCACAGGCAGAGACAAAAGAGTGCAGGCAATACCTACGTGCCCAAACGGATCCGAAATGGTATGGCACGAAGTGAGTACAACTCATTGGGAAGGTTTGTAGTGCTGTCAAGGGCAACCGACTGAATGACCGAGAGCTTGACATGTTTTGGCAACGATGGATGAATGGCAGACATTGGACGGACACGTAGCAGTGCTGAGGACCATTTGGAACGAGATCGCACAGTTAGCAAATACACCCAAATATGTTACAAACTGCATACAACATCTTATCCGCAAAGTTTTGTTGCAACACATGCAAAATTCGGAGGGTGAACAATCATCACAGAAACGTAATTACATGGCAAAATGCAAACAGCTGGCAGAAGAATTCAAAGATCATGCACCACAGCAGATATATCAAAGCACTGCAGAAGTGTAAATATCCTACTTGCGATTCTGTGCTCGAATTCGATGGAATGTATACAAGGTATCTTTTCTTTGCATTTTGTGTCACAGCTTTTTCCATTGCACAATACAATTATATTAGTGGGGTTTTGTTCAGCCTTCAATTGTTTTCCTTGTGACTCTATAAAAAGCTGAACTATACATCAATTTTGTTGAATTCCAGTCTAAGTCAGGCTTAAATAAAAGATTGTGTTTATTAGAGTGTTCCTAAATTAGTCCGGTCATGGAAGAGAAGTTAATCCAAGATGTATCAAAACAACATCTTCAACCAAAATCCCCCACCCCTATTTTATCAAAATTAGTGGAGGATTTTGTAGTAAGTGGGTATGTTAAACCAGCTGTCATGGAGAAGCTCGACCCCCATCAATTTAGAGCAGTTCCACATTCAAATACCACACAGGCCCTTCTTAGCACGATCCACTCATGGTCTAAAGCAACTGATGGGAATATGGTGCCACAACAAGAGTTGTTCTTTTCGACTTTAAAAAGGCTTTCGACCTAGTTGATCACTGTATTTTAGTCGAAAAACTAGTACTCTAATATAACATCCCAAGAAGGATTATTTGTTGGATCATAGATTTTCTAATGGACAGGAAACAGAGGGTGAAACTTAGTAATGAGTGTTATTTGGAATAGGATGCCTTCCCCAACAACGTACCAAACTAGGCCCGTGGTTGTTTCTCATAATGATTAATTTCTTGAATGTAGAGAACGCAGATCTCTGGAAATATATGGACAACTTCTCCTTTGTGGAAAACGTGGCAAAATGAAATCATGGCTACATGCAGAAATATGCAGATGAATTTTCTTCAAAGGCTCAAGCTGATGGTTTTCAACTGAACAAAACCAAATGCAAAGAACTTAGATTCAACTTTTCTAGTCATCCCATTCAATTTGAGCCTATAATTATTAATAACAAGGAAATAGAGGTGGTTCATTCAGCAAAGGTGTTTGGTTTGAAGATCTCCAGTGACCTGAAGTGGAATGCACACATCCAAGATATATGTAAGGTCACATCATGCTTGTACCTTCTTCGACAACTTAAACATGCTCAGTTACCTGAAAAGGATCTTTTCCTCTTTTGTATCACCTGCATACCTATTGTGGAGTATGTGTGCCAAGTATTCCGCACCGGGATGCTTACCCTGATCTGTTGTATAATGAATCTATTAATACCCTAGACATCACAACATTATTTGAAAGAATACAGGTTCTTAATGATAGGTTATTGAAATAAATTGTCGAGGTTAGCTCACATAAGCTAAACAAACTTCTACCATCTAGAAACAGTTGTACCACAAACTTACGAAATAGACTGACTTTCCCATTGCCCATTTGCAAAACAAGTAGATTTAAAAATACTTTTATTCCTTATAATGCATATAATTTTCCTTTTAATTAATATCCTAAATAGGTCATGTATTATAACTTTTTAACAATTTTATTACTGTATATTTACCTAGCTACTGTAACACGACAGAAAAAAGTCAGCGCATGCACCAAATTATGAAAATATGGCGGGGAATTTGAATATCAATTTCTAAAACAAAAACATGCTTATTAATTGGTCAAAAATTAGTAAAACAAACGAGAAAATATAGCAAATGGGTAGACTAGACATTAATTCAAAGCGTCCTGGCATTGTCCAATTTCTTGAACCTTCTGGCTGTATTTATTCCTAGTTTTTAGAATGACATGTTTATTTTTGCGCTCAAAATCTGGCTGTAAAGACGCACAATGAAGTCACTCATTTTCAAGTTTGACTATGCCAGTGGATATCATCACATAGAAATTTTCCCTGAGCATACCCAATTTCTTGGTTGATCATGGGAGGTTAATGGTGTCCAAAAATTTTTTTAATTTACAGTCCTCCCATTTGGTTTGTCCACTGCCCCTTAGGTATTTTCTAAGGTGCACAGGGCTTTAGTTAAACACTGGAGAGGGAAAGGGTTCAGAGTTTTTACATACCTTGATGACGGTGCTGGAGCAGAGACTAGCTTGGAGGAGCCTCTAAAAACAGCAACCCTGGTGAGACAGGACATTGCAGACAGTGGGTTTGTAGCTCATAAGGATAAATGTCATTGGGAACCGGTCCAATCGGGGGAGTTACTTGGGTTTGTTATGGACCTGAAATCTGGTACATTTTGTATTCCACAAAGGAGGGTAGCATCCCACAAAGGAGGGTAGCATCCCTTCAGGAAGGCCTGCAGTATGCTGTGTCGAAAGGCTTTGTTTCATCTGCTCGATCCCTTTCTCGACTTACTGGTATGTTGGTGTCCATGGGGTTGGCTATTGGCCCGGTGGTTCGTCTCTGGACTAGGGCTATGTATCGTGAGATCCTTCAAGCCCCATCCTGGGATATACTGTTTGCCCTTTCAACCGAAACGCAGCAAGAGATATATTTCTGGATCGATAATTTTGATAATGGCGGTTATCCTATTTGCTCCCCAAGTTCAAAAATTGATGTGATGACTTACTCTGATGCTAGTCGTACAGGTTGGGGTGGATATGCAGTTCAGATTGGTGAACAATCTGCTGTCGGTTGTTGGTCGGAAACTGAAGTGCATAAAAGTTCCATGACAGGTCCTGGCAAAACCAGCAACGCGGAAGTCTCCGCTTGGAGCAGACTTGGTGAGGAAGTTAGTGCTGCGCTTGGAGCAAGGTAGTCTGGCGGAGTTGCAGTTAGCCACATTGATCGCCTTGGGATTTTTTGGTTTTCTGCGATGGGATGACCTAAGTAATTTGACCACAGACAATATCCAATTTGAAGATTCACATATGGCATTGTTCTTAGAAAAACGAAAAAATTAACAGTTTAGAGACGGTTTGTGGGTGTTCATTTCAAGTTCGGAAGTGTAACCGTGTCCAGTGGAAGTAGTAAAGAAATTCCTAGTGCAAGGTTGTCATGCGCAGGGATCCAAGTTATTTCGACGAGTCCAGCATACAAAAAATGGCTGGCAACTGAAGAAGCAGGGCATGTCCTATAGTAGGGCCAACCAACTACTGAAAGCAGAGTTGAAGAAGGAAGGACTGAATGTCAGTCGCTATAGCCTACATAGTCTACGTGCAGGTGGGGCGTCGGCAGCAGCAGCTTTGGGTGTACCGGACCGGTTATTCCAACAACATGGAGGCTGGAGAAGTGAGACAGCTAAGAATAATTATCTAGAAGAGAGCCTGGACTCTTCGTTATTAGTTACTAAGTCTATTCAGGATAAGAACACCTAATATAAGTCTAGCTGAACATTCTCCTAAGCTCTTTGTGACACTATGCATTTTGAGCTTGCGTGTGCAGCATCCCTCAGCGGTGTGTGAGAAGTGTTATTTTCTGCCGGCTGAGGAACCAAAGAGGCAGAAAATTTTTTCTCACACACTGCTGGGGGACTGGGTCAAAGGTGGGGTCCAGGTCACCAAATCACTTTTTTGCTTGCCTGTGCTAGCCTGACCTGTGTCCCACCCACCCTATTGGCAGGTAGCCTGGTTGATACTTTGTTGCGATCCTTGTTTGTAAATATGAGATATTGTTAATTAAAGGTCAGGCTTGCGTGTGCAGCATCTCTCAGCGGTATGTGAGAAGCAGAATGTCGGGTTTCAGCAACACCACCATGTTAAAATGCTTGTACTTTGCTACATCAACACCCTTGTTCAGCTCACTAGCAATCTCCCAAGCTACACCCTCACTACAAGATCCTGTTCCAAGGTCTTGGCAACTAGTAGGTATGTACCACGAAGATGACAAAGACAAGCTTGTAAACATACCGAAAGTATCATTGCATTTGTTCGATGTGGACTCGGGTGAAATCCCAGTAGTTCCAGAGAATGAACAAGGCCTGCACAGTCTGGTAACCCACAGGAACAAGATAAGATTTCGCATGCGAAACTGTGATGCACCTAAAAATGATCACTTGTTGTGTATATACAAGCAGCCGGAAGGATCTAAAGTAAGTGAAAACCAAACAATAATATGATAAGTAACAGCAGGGCATCTATAAGCATGGGTGGTTAAATGCCAGTGGAAGCTTTGAAACATGTGTGATGTGCAGACTTCCCCATGTTGTTCGAAAGGGTTTCATGATCATTGCATTTTCATGTTTCAAGATGGTGGGGCTGCTTGAGCAAGGACGAAATTGGAAATTGCCATCAGTTTAATAGATGATACAGAAGACGCCGATCTTGAAACAAATATGGTAAATCAATAACCAGTCGGTACGACCACTGGCTCTACCGTAAGTGAATTAGTTTCTGCGCTTGAAAGAGTATATCTTCAGGCATGTTAAAGACCAAGCCGAATTGGCTTTAGCCATTTTTGGCAAACATGCATGGTAAAAAGTGTTTTAAACCATTGTATGGCTTTTTATCTTTGCTGGTCAACGTTTTTCAACAGTGCAATGATTGCGTATGGCATATAAAAATGAGTGGGATCTGTGCAACAAAGTTGGAGGAGTTTACAGTGCTGAGAAACTATGACACCTCAAAATTGTACCTTGAATGGAAGCAAGTTCTCGGCATGGATGATTATGGTTCTCTTCAAGTTGAAGCTTGAGTGGTCAACCAACATGTCCTCCAACATTTTTGGAGCTTTGTGGCACTAAAAAGGGAATCTAAATCGGGATCCGAGATTGTCATTGACTCTGTAAACCACAATGAGACACCAAATCTAGTTGTCGAGGACGAATCAGAAAAGGAAGCAATCTTTCGCCATGCTGCCTGGGCAGTGAAATGAACATGTGACCAAATTGTTTCTTTGGCAACAGGCATCAACATTAAAAAGTTGAAGAATGAAAGCACCATCACTATGGTGACAAAGGGGTGTTTAGTTTCATTTTTGGGTAGGATGGGCATTGATCAACATCAAGATACTGGGAAATTTTTGTTCATAATAAACCATGCTTTACTGAACTTTTTCTATTTTTATGCATAAAGAGGCACATATTTTTTTCAAATGTGGTATAGATAATGATACTGTTATTCATTGTTTAAAGTACTTATTTGAAAGTAAAGATTTATGTGCTGAGTGGAAGAGAGCAATTGGTGATTTATTGGGTGATGAAGAAGAAGCAGCAAGTATAATAATTTTACAACGAATAACATCTATGTTTGTCAAGTCGAAACAACAGATAATCTGGGAACAACTTAATCTAAAACCTCAAAGTGAGAGCTTAAGACAAACATTTGCAGGCAAGAAATAATTTGCGGACCTGTACATGTCGAAATCTGGTCAGCACATTGGGATTTATCAAATTAATATACACTCCATGCACCCTACTTTAGCATTTTACTCTGTCTAATGCCAGATGATTTTACTTGTCAAAGGATGTTACTCGTCAGGGTAATCGTCAGTACATGGGGACAAAGACAGCCATGTGACAGGAAATTAACCAATAGAAATAATATAGTTGAAGTTGTGTTGTTAATGGACGAAAACATTGCTATAAATCTAAAATGGAGAGGAAATGAGTAAAAAGGAATCCTGGAAGTAAGGTTTCCATACTTTCTATTTTTATAACAGGGCTTGAAATAACATCCGATCATGGATCAATGCTAGGAAATAAATTGCTTATAATCGGTGGAAAAGCAGGGTTTCCAACCTGAAAAGGCAGGGGAAGTCATAACTGCCAATTACCATGATCAGGAACTTTGGGAACGTCATTTCAAGCTCTGTTATAATTTGTAGATTTACATCGTATTTATAGTATTCTATATTTCCATGTACCGTTCCACCAAATCGTAAATACTATTCTCATTTCTCCTCTTTGGGAGATTGTTGTCTCAGTCAAAATAAGTCATAGTCTCTTGTAGTTAATAGACATTGGTCTGTTTATTTCCTAATACCTTTGCTGTCTGACCACAACTGTACCCATTTATATTGTAGGAATACACATATGCAGTCATATTTTGGGTACCACCACACATTTGACGTTGGGATGAAAAAATGATTCAACAAAATCTTCGTTAACTTTGACTGGCATGACAAACAAGTCACCATATTCTTTCACAAACTTGTCATTTTCCATAAAATCAAGCAGTCTCTTGGAATCCGTCTATTGTTCCCTATTAAATTAATAAGATTAAAATTTTTAATTATAAAAGTTTTCCACTCAGTGCTCAGAGTGTATTTTTGCATTTTGTTATCTCAATTATAAACAGGCAATGGCAATTAGTCAAAATTCAAGAAACTTCTGCAATCTGTTGACATTTTATTTAACAGTTACCAATTTATAGACAAATAGGGCAACACAATTCAACTTTTACAGTTTTGTTTCTGTGTTAAAACGCAGCGAATATACAACAAAAAATGCATCCTTGCTAGAAATTATTAAATAAAAACAAAGAATACTAAATTTTGTCACCATATTTGTTGATAAATTGGTAATCGCTACAGAAAAACAACAATTTACAGAAAATGACTACAGAAGTGGAAGTGGGAAGGTTCTTGTATTTTGACTATAAACCAGGTATTGTTATTAAGTGAAAATGTTCTGTAGGGCACAAACTGCTGTTTAATGGTTAAGTTAGCAACTTTGTCTCATCATCAAATCAAACATTGTCTGCCAAGCTATAAAGCGGTTGCCTTGTTCAGTCTTTGTTTCAAATGCTTTTTCCAAACAGATCAACTACGTCATTGAGCAACCTGCATTTTCTCCTATCTTTTCCCCTGTAATGCTTTGGAACTGTTAAAAATACACCAAAATTTACTACAGGCTGCAATGTATTCTTGTGTAGCCTTTATATTATCATTGTCACACTTGTTCATTTCATTAGCCACTTTTTCGGGTTAACGTTTGGACTGCTAATTTCACACACATTTTACTGAGATTGTCAAGGTTAACATGAGAACTATGAAGGTCTGTGACATATAGGTGACTTGACTGATCTCTCCTGTGCATGTTATTGACATGATCCCACATTATATAGTTCCCATTGTTCATCATTTCGTTTATTATTGTCTTTTAGACCACTGTTGAACAAACTATTCCTAAGTTTTTTTTTCAGATGTGGTGGGTTAGACAAAAAATATGGGATGCTTTGAAAAAGAATTTGTGCCTTCTGAGTGAAGTGGATTGCTTGTGTTCATAGTGTAGAAGGTTCTGTTCGATGATGCTCCATCATAGCATACAAGAATTACCCTGAACCATAACTATGTAGAAGGCTAACTCCATTATCCCATACCTGTGTTAAAAGCGGCTTTCTGATTGGTTTAGAGCAGGTGAGCTTGTCGTCGAGCTCACCTACTTTTTGCTGAACTCACCTGCTTTTCGCCCGAACTCACCCGCTAAACTGCTTACTTTGCAATAACAATAACAAATATGGCAGACAAGATTTAGCCGATAAACCTAAACTTTAAAGAACTTTTTTCGGTGACTAACATACTGAAACTGAAGAAAAACCAAAGCAAAAATGCAGTATAGGTAATGTAGACGTAGATAAAGAAGTATTTTCTTGCCCAGTGATTTTTTTGGCTGGGAAAATGTTGACAAAACATCGACGAATATATCTCGAAGAGCTACAAATGTGTGTATGGCTTGGTGTATGGGATAAAAACCAAATGTACTTGCAAGTTTGTTGCCTGGAGCTTCCAGCCACCCGAGGTGCATCCAATCCTGGACTCACCTCCCTGCAAGTACGTTTGTTATAAGCCAGAATGTTCGGTTAAGTTGAACTGCATTCCACCTTGTGTTAGGAAATATGAACATGGAAAATCAAATTTAAAAAGACTTTCATAGAAAAATTGGAGAATGTGTGTTCCAAGCTTGTCAAATGGTTTGCTTTCCTCATTTTTCTCAAGTGCGTCTGTAAAGCCAATAAGTTCCCATGAACTGCTGTCGAATACCAAACCTTCTTTAATCTTTACTTTTTCAAAAAATAAACCTCCTAGTTTGCCATGTTTTGGTGGATTCATATTGTCATATTTATTTTTCATGTGTTCTATTGTTTCTGATTGCCATTCAGACTTAGGAGAGTTAAAGTTTTTATAGTCTGATAAAGTTCTGCCACTAATAATGGCAATTTTGGGGCCCCTGATGAATCTATACCCTTCATACATAGAGTGAGACTTACAGTACATCTTTAAACACCACTAATCACTAATGGATTCCATCTCATCTGTTTTGGAGGTGTGTTCAAAGCTATTGCTTGATTTTTAAGTGACACCTCCATCTTTTGCATAACCGATATGTTCTTGTAGGTGATTGTAAAGTAACTTTGCCTTAGTGAAATGTTTGTCACATCTTTCCCATGAACATCTATAATGCCTTTCTACTGGTGCAACTTCAACAGTATTAACTTTTTCAACATGTTGCTTGCTGTGACTGTAAAGTAACTCAATTCCTTCATTGCACTCTTTCCACTGCATACAGGATTTTGCAGATGATTGTTTCTAAAATTCCACTGTACACCTTTTCAAACATTTTATGGAGATCATCGTTTGTTTTTGGTCCAACTGTTGTCATCTTGTTTCGTTGACACTTTTGTTTCCAATATTTAATTTCCTTAATTGCTGTAACATTAAGATATTTAGCTGCTGGCAAGACATTTAAATCTTTGGAGTACTCATTTTGTATCAGCCCAACTTTAATTTCTTCAACTGTTATTGAATGCTGTGAAGCTTTATATGACATACTTAGGTCAACATATCTGAAAACACCAACTACTGAGGAATAGTGGTTTACATTGGCTAGAGCACTTGAACAACCACTCCCTGGAAGGGATAAATCAGTGCCTTATGTTTTGACTGGTGATGATGCTTTTCTCTTGAGAAATTATCTAATGAAGTCTTATCCCAGCAATGGGTTGACCACTGAACAAAGAGTATTTAATTATCGACTGTCTCGTATGAGATGAATCTCTGAGAATGGTTTTGGTATAATTGCAAACAAGTGGAGAGTATTTCAGGCTCCTGTCCTCCTGCAGCCTGAGAAACTTTTTAAGATAACCTGGCATGCAACACTTGTATTACACAACTTTCTCAGGTAAGACTACATGTACCTTACAAATGCAAGTATATATGCACTTATTATTTGTGCTACTGACAATTTGACAAACATACAATGGGGCATGATGTGCCAATCAATTTATACTGTTAACATCCCCCTGGGCATTCAAACATTTTGAAACTCTATGGTCAAATTTCCTACGCCACAACAAAAATGCTGTTCAAATGCCCCACAAGTGAAACATATGCACTGAATTCAGAAGGAAACTTCAACATTTTAATAAATGAAACACTGTATTAAAAACTATACACTTCATGCTTTATAAAGTTTCCTGAAAGCATTTAAAGTATACTCCAAGTCTCCATTTTGAAGCTTTTTAAGAGTGTTTTCTTTCTCTTAAAGTTCTGGATCTCTTCTCCTCAACCAGTTGCGATATTTTATACTCTTTCAAGGTATATCCAAATCGATAAGCTCATCTGAGGAATTTATCAATTCATTGTAGATATTTATTCTGTAGAGCGGATCCCCAAACTTCAATTCCGTAGTGGAACAATGATAGAATTAGAGTTTCAAACAATAGGTTTAAGTTTTCCTTTGTATAACCATAGGATCTGCAAACTCTAAGGATGTACATATGGCTAGCAGCCTTCGATAGCAGGGTGTCGACTTGTAAATCCCAACAACAAGGGTCATCCTGAAAAGCCATTCCGAGAAGTTTCAACCAGTTTTTGTTCTCAATACCATCCAATTGGAGCAGTAATGGCTTTGCTGTTCTGCCACAAACAACCATTTCCCATGTTTTAGACATATTAAGAGTGAGAGGCCATCCTTTAATGTTCCTTACTTCGCTAGCAGGTAGAAATACCCCTGGAAGCTGGGTAGAAACAGGTAGAAATACCCTCAGAAGCTGGCGAAATGATGCGCCCAATTCCTCCTGGTTGTAGTTTTTCCATCATGTAGCAACAACTTTTCAAATTAAGCAAGTGCCATTTGTGAAGTACACAATGCATTTTTTAACAATGAAGGTGCTGTAACATGGCAATGGCGAATGTATGGAATTGACTAATTATGTAATTACTTATATGTTCAGTTAATATGGCCATTCTTATTCTTAGCCATCAAATGTGGGTAGCAAAAATAGTTTTTAAATGTTCCCCAAGCGCATCTCTTCGACACAGCGATAATCATTATAATTAATGACTACGAACCACCGTCATTTCAAAGCAATTAATTTTTAGGAACTACAATGCTGTTAGTATCTGATATAGAATCTTTAGACATTTTTCTTCATATTTCTAGTACAACAACACCGAAATATATACGATAATTACAATATAAATTTGCATACACAGTATTAACTCCTGTCGTGGTCTTCTGAGGCTCTGATGTAGTCGACGAAAGTGCTTTATATTTGGAAAGGTTTTAGTCACTTTTTACAGTGCTTTTTTACGTAATTGTATAAAAGGTAAGTTTAAATTTGATATGTTTTATTTGCTGATTATTTTCCATGTGTATTCAGTGTATATAGATATTTTAATGTTCATATATATTTATATATAAATTATGGATGAAATTCCTCCATATTTCCATGTGTTTGAATATGAATAATTAATATATACATGTGTTAAAACTTTTGTTTTTTTTTAATAGTTTAAAACATTGTTATTACCGTGTGTAATTTTAATATTTCATTACTGTAAACATTGAAAATTTTTTTTTTTTTTAATAGTAATATATAGATATTGGAGACATGCCCTTGTTCAAAGTTCAAAGTGAAAGAAACCCACAAAAGTTTTCCATCTGTGCCAACTCTTTGGCAGATTTAAAAGATAAAGGTACTTGTTAAAAGAACTGTTAAGGCCATGTTTAATACACAATGCAGTTTTTCTTGCAACTAATTTTTACCCTTTTGGTTAGGGTAAGATTTAGAGTTAGGGTATTTTTCAGGGTTAAATTTAGGTTTCTTGTTAGATTTAAAGGTTGTCTGATCTATAGACAAGTATCGTATAGCCATATAGAACAAGACGATTGGTGTTGTACCTATAACCACAGTGTATTTAATATAGCATGCCTTTAGAACCAATGAAAGGTATGGGATACTGACATCTTCACTTGTTTTTTGTATAGGAAGCACTAAACTTGGCATAAAAAACTCTGATGATTTACAAGCCATGCTAGTAGATGATCAGTCCATTATTGATGATGAAGATGTATTTTCTGATCTTTCTCCAAATACATGCTTTTATTTAATTGAGAAAAAGACAGATGATACTTTGGAGTCTGCTGGCACTTTTGCAACACCTTTGTCATTTATACAATTTGCAAACAACAGGCAAAAAGATTGACTATTAGTGAAGGCAATCTTGGGTTACGGATGCCACTTGAATCAGTGAGTCAATATTTGTCATCATACTATGCATTTAAAATTGTGTTTTATTATTTTACAGTATTGGATATTATTAATTTATGCCAATTGAAAATTTCACTTGGCCAGAAATATGTTGATAAAACAAAATTTAAAAACTTAAATCTATTAAGTGATTATTAGTATAGTTACAGTATAGCTTATATACAATTGGTGAAATTGCTTTTTTTTATTTTATAGGAAACCATTGCAACACCTGAAAAGAACCCAGATTTGATAGAGAAAGCTAAAATTTACACATCTCCCAGAAATGATTATGAGGAGGCTGTAAACAATGCAGCTGTAAAACTTGTCCAGGAAATTCTGCTCTTGTTTTCCAGACAGGTATGTTATGATACACACAGTACTTGTACAATGTAGCAGGAGTGCACACTGCATGCCGTATATCCATGAGGAGATTTGTGGTTTCATCTACCAAGGAAAACATCATTGCCCAATTGCCAAAGCAAATGCCAAGGCATGTCAGAAATGCTCTTCAAAATATTACCAATTTTGCCTGAAAACAAGCCTGCCCAGAGATATTTGGGGGCCCAGGAAAAATAGTATTTGAGCCCCCCTGGGAAATGAATTGACAGAACTATTTTTACACATACCGGTATTGTATTGTTATTTGGGGGCCCTTTTAGCTAAGGGTCCAGGGCGAATTGCCCACTTTGCCCCTCCCCCCCTGGGTTGCCCTGCCTGAAAATATGCTAATTTCAAAGACAACATCATAAAGTATATATAATATTGAAAGTCCCCAATACAGGGTCTAATCAAATCCTTTCTATCTTCACATAATCTCAGCTTAAGTTGTGTAATGATACTAATCAAGCATGTCTACTAGATAATATTTTTCTTTCTATTTATATGTAGCAGAATATTGAATATGTCTGATTGTTAAAATAACAGCAGGGTGCAATAATTCAATATTTTTAGCCGTACCTGACTGGTACTCCGACAACTTTTGCCGCGTACCTGGTCTGGTACAAACTTAAGAGTCAAGACGTACCTAAGACTACTTCCGAGTCATGCGTTTTTATACCTATAGTTTACTGGTCCAAAAGCAAAAAATGTATGGGCAATTTTGTACAAATGAATCTTTAATTATGGTATTTGTACAACATAATACAACAGTTTTCAAAGCGTCGACGTTGTGACTCGAATGCCATCGCTCATTTACAGTGGATTTACCAAGGGTGCTAACAGTCTGACCTCAGCTACATACAGTGTAGTTTTCCTCATTGGGCCTAAAAAATACCTGTGGCTGTGGTTCCGGTTTCATATCGCGAAAAAATTAGGATAGGTAGGTCGGAAATAAAAATTTTTTAAAAATATTTTTTTCATGGTTTTGGCATTATCGGCGTTTGACGATAACGATTCTAAAATCGCTCACCCGAGCGATTTTTTTTCAGTCTGACGATGACGATAAATTTTTTGATCAAGCGCAAAGATAACCTTTTGGCTTTTTTCATCCCAAAATATGTCGGATGCGTGGAATTTACATGTACAGCTAAAGTTCTTCACAGTTTTGAATACTTTGGCAGGTCTGCTAGTTATTGCTAGAAGGAAAATGTAAGTACGCGAATAGCAAATTTCCGCGTACCTACTTGGTACTTGCCTAAAAACAAAGAAGTACCAGACCATAAATTTGGTGTACCTCCGGTACGTTGGTACGCGAATTATCGCACCCTGTAACAGGACGCTGGGTTTACTTGGGCGACTATTGATGCCTCAAAGCATTATGAGAGCATTTGTGACAAAACACAAAACAAAAGCGAATTTATGACTTTGCAGGCTATATATCACACCCAAGTAACAAGCTCAAGGTTAATCATATTTTGTTTTGAACTGGTTGCTGAGAATTTTGCAGGAGTTTAAAATCTGACAATGCATGGTGCAGATTGGGTTTCACAGTCAGGCATGTTAACTAATTTTGAGGTTCCAATAAATTTCCAACCAAAATAGAGGCAACCAGCATGAACCTGTATATAAATGAACAAATTGTGAGCAATTTTGGTTATAAACTGCATCAAAATCTTTCTTATTAAATATTAACTTTTCATTTTGCATTTTTTCATAACATATAATCCACTTTAACCGAAATTATCGTATGGATCCATTGGCAATACTGTGAAATATATGTGTACTCATGCAGTATATGTGCCAAAGTTCATGCTTTTACTGCAAAACCCACATTTGGTGCACAAATACCCAGATAAAATCATCTGGGTTTCTCGATATAGAATCCAATGTTCCCCATATCTAATTATTTATATCACATGAACTCATCATACATAAAACTTTGTTTGTAGGTGAGTTGTATCTAAAAGCAAAAGAAATGGTTCGAGAAGGCGGCTATAAATTCAAGAAAGGCTATTCCAGATCAAAGGGTCTAAGAAAGCTATAGAAGACCTGAAACTACTGCTTAAAAGTCTTGAAGATCAGTTGCGTTTTAAACAAATGCGCATAACCAAGGCAAAAGCTATCAATGATTTTAAAGTAGCTGACCAACTAATGGATGAAGTTAGGAATCTACTTAGAGAGAAAACGGATTGCGACAAACAATTGTTAGCTCTTGAGAAGAAGTCGTCCAAGTCTGAATGGTACCGTAAAAGAGCTCACTCTAAAAGTACAGCACATGAATTTAAAGATGGAAGTTCTCTATCGGAGCCAGAAGGAAGCCAAAATAAGATCGCAAAATTTTTTAAAGGCAACGGAAATGTTGCAAGCACTTCCACATTGACTGCTACAACAGATGATGTTGCAAGGCAAGAAAAAGCAGATAAACCAGTAGACAGAGTTATCAGCATTGATCATTCTCCTCAAAGTGATGATACGTTGATTGTGTCTGACAGTTCTGAACCAGAATTGTCTTTTTAGATGCGTCCTCTCCTAGTGGGAGAGGAGAAAAACAACTTATGTCTATTTACATTAAACAGAACAAAAACAATTGTTCACATTATATTTCGTTGAAAGACAATGTTTATGTTTCAAAGTTTGAGGGTCTCACATTACATGAGTATGTAAAAGCAATGACTCTCGTTTGTTCAAACTTGCACAAGCGTCATGGTTGTAAATGTTTACACAACTGCGAAGCACTTTTAAATGTAGCAATTATAGTGAATGAGGAAGGATTTATAAAGCTTAAAGATGCTGCAGAACTGTGCAGTCCGAATGTTAAATACACACCAGCCCATGCTCGTAGAAAAATGTTAAGAATGCCTTGTGCTGTGATTGGGACAGGTAGTTTGCTCGAAGGAACTTCTTGTTTATATCTAGTAGAAAAACAGAGCCCGGCCACTTTGTATCTTTTGCAATCTCTACTAAAAGAAGCATGTATTAAAAAGCAAACTAACAAAGGACTTACGAAAGAAGACGTGAAAAAGCTATTGAATTTGGCGGAATCTGAAAGTGAAAGAAAGAGACTAAAGTACGCTGTTGTAAAGTCGAGTGGAATATCAAGCACGAAAGCAAAAGCTGTTTATGGATTTGACGACATGACTTCTAAAATAAATGATGTAGAGAAAGCAATGGAAGAGGCATGTGCAATCAGACAAGCAATCGAAGACATTGCTAACACTAAGGAAAAATCAATATTACTTCCTCTGGGAATAAGTGAATCCAGTGAAAGTGGCTCAGATACTGAAAGTGAGACTGATTGTGAGAGTAGTTCTGCAATAACTGATTCAACATGTCTACCCAACAACCGGAAGGATAATAGCGACGAAGAAATTACACCAGTTAGACAGTCGATGTTAGAAGATTTAAAGGAAAATGAATTTGGGTACAACAGCGATAGTTCTTCAGAAATTACGTCAGAATCAGAATCCACTGGGGAGGTTTGTGCCGGAGTGGTTAAAGCACCAGGTGTTCATGCAAAAAACGCAGCACAACATTACGCAGATCTTCAGATGCTAGAAAAGAATGAAGAAACACGCGAGGTATTTTGGAACAGTGAAACCCAAGAACGAAAAGAAATTGAATGTGCTCGAGTTGACAGAAGTTTTGACGAGGGTCCGTCCCATTGCGAGGTTCAATATTGGTGGACGGTTCGTCACCTTGTAACCAGTTGCCAAATGACGTTAGTAACGTCTAGAAACAGTGGTGCGAGCTATAGGAACCGCGTAGAGCTGCAAAATGGCAGTCTTGCCCTTGGTCATGCTAGCCTTTTTATTCCTTCAACTCTTTAATGGCTCCTGTATTAGTGGTGGAAACATTGACCACGATTTGCTGCGTAAAAATTTGGATGCTGCTATAGACGTATATATTTCGAGAGTTAATAAAACTGGAACAGTTATTAATCTATGCTGGAACAGTTATTAATCTATACAAGGGAGCAGACAGTAAAGCATACCAGGAGGAAAATTTTTAAAAATTTTCTTGAAAGGAAAGAAAGAAGAAAGGGAAAAGCAAAAGAAAGATCATCCTGAGAACTATGCTCGTGCTCAAGCGATTTGGAATCTACGGAAAAGACATATGAGAACAGATGTTCCATTAAAGTATATTTTTTGCCTGAGCTGTTGCTACCAACCTGACTGTGAACATTCTTTGTGTCGTAAAGGTAAGCCTAGTGAAGAACCCACATGGTATGTTGGTGGCCCACCCTTGTCTTTCATACCTGTGCCTTGTCCTGATCCTGAACGTTGCTATGGCAGTGAACAATGCAGTGAATGTAATGGTGCTTGCTACGGCCATTACCTAAAGTTAGATGAACTTTGGAAGTATACTTCCGAAGTGATGTGAAATGTTGCCTGCCATCAGAAGTTATTTTAGCAGAATATGACAAACATCAAAAAGAAGCCATTTCCATGCACGAGATACTTGATGATAATTGTGTACAAGATCTTGCTAAACAAACTTTGCTCTCTCCTGAAGAAGTAAACTATGTGGCTCAGTCATTTGAACACAATTGCAGAAAATAGAAAGAAAGGTGCAGAGAAAGCAGCCGAAACACGTAGAGCAAGAAAGGAAGCATCAAAGAAACTGATAGATTTACCGAATGGAAATGACTCCGAGGTGTGTGATGTTTGTAAGTTAGAAGACCCGGCTGAGGGGGTGAAGAAATAGTTCCTTGGGTTTGTTGCGACAGTTGTTCACAGTGGAGCCACATTGTGTGTGTTGGTATTGAGACTGAACTTGAAATTCCAAATCATTGGCAGTGTTTTAAATGTTCTGAGAAGTGGGAATAGATTAGATGAACTCAGAATAAGATTTTTATTAAACATGTCACTTTGTGTATGTTGGTATTGAGACTGAACTTGAAATTCCAAACCATTAACAGTGTTTTAAATGTTATGAGAACTCATACGATAAGATTTATGTTAAACCTGCATTTTGAACTGTTAATTATGACTTAAGTTCCGTTCACAACGGACACGATGCAGCAACGCGACGCGATTGTTAAGATTCTGTAAAAAGTAAATACTGTAGCAAAGTCTATCAAAGGAAACTTTAAGACCTCGTTTACACTATGTCGGATTTGCATGTCACGACATGCATCTTATTTATCAGTCGATCAAGGCAATATACCTCAAGATTCTATATGGTATTCAAGCGACGAACTAAACTAAACTGTCAAGCAATGAATCTTTGCAGTCAGGTTTTTGTCTCCAAACGACAAACGACGATCTCGTGACGAGTGCAAACGGGCCCAACAAACTCAAATTGTTACAGCGCTTATGAATATTTGAAAAACTTAAACCAGGATCAAAGATATTGGTTTATGAAAATTAGAAAATAGCGTAGCGTTGTAGCATCGCCTCCAGTGTGAACGGACCGTTAATATGTTCATGTCAATTCATATTATTAAAAATGAAATTTTAAAAAGCTTAAAATATGTAGCTCTTCTCCCGTGGGTGGGGAAAGTTACCTTTATTTGACCAGAATTTTCAATGCCCTGCGGGCATTTGATTAGTTTTCTCATATTTTTGTCAAATCCCCTCCCTAGTCCCGGCCTCCCCCCCCCCCCCCCGGGGTTTACATTGATAGGGGCATTA